TAACATCCCAAAGTTTGAAGAATTATTTTGTGTTGATGTTTCTACTAAAACTGTTATAAAAAAGGAAACAAATATTAAATCATTTGACATGTTGATAAGTTCTAAAAGATTGTTTTTAGTATCACTTGCAGTTAAATATTTAGAATCAAAAAATATAACACCTGAAAATATTAAAAAGGTTTTGATAGAAGGGGAAGGTAATGAATTAGATTTAGTAGATTATAAAAATATATGAACAATTCTCCCAACATCCAATGAATTAAATTTATTAAAAGACTCATCAAAAGAATTATCAAAAATTGAACAAAATATGCTTGATTATGCAAATTTAGTATTTTTAAATAATTTTATTGAATTAAAAATTTATGAATTTGAGTTTATTGAATCCTTACAAATAGTAGATAGAATAATATATTCAGAAGTTATTGTACTCAAAAATATTTGTAATTCACACTCATTAAGATATATTTTATGTCTTATACTTAAAATTGGAAATATTATAGGTTATACTTATAGTTCAAACAAGAAAAAGATACAATGACTTAAATTAGAAAGTTTAGATCAAGTTCTTAATTATAAATCAAAGAATAATTATTTGTTTGAATTTGTTATAGAGATGTTAAAAGTTAATTCTTTTGATATTAATAACTTTATTAATGAATTTGAAATGTTAACTAAAAATAATCAAACAGATTTAGAAAGTATAAAAAATAATTTAAATGATGAAATTCATAAATTTAAAGAAAAATTAAACATTTTTTATTCCATGGACAGTGAATACCAAAAACATTTCAGTAACTTCTTTGGATATGGATCTGAAATGTTAAAAAACACTTCTAAGGAATATTATGTAGCATATGAATTAACTGTTAAATGTAAAAAACTCTTTGGTGAAGATCCTATAAGTAATTTTGTTAAAGTAAAACAGGATATTTTTATATTAATTGAAAGCTTAAGAAAATACTTAAATTAAAATATGAAAGTAATTTTATTTAAAATTCAAGGACAT